GCATGTCACCGATGATTCATTTATTTTCTCAACTAAGAAACACAACTATCCGAACTGATTGTGATTTTCTTAACGTTTCTTACTAAAAGTTCTGAAAAATTTGTCAACATATTTCACAGCTGGACATTGTATTTGAATTTGTCCAGATGTTTTAAAGCACCATCCATACAGAGATGCCAGTTGTCTTCATACGCGACGAAAAAGTCTGCCGTGAATCATTCATATGCATCGACAAATTTAGTAGGCATCACTCAAGATCAAACAATAAGTATTGCCGACAGAGCCGGAAATTTGCTTTTGTGTTCCCCACCAGGTCAGATACACAAAAACCCTTTTATCTTGCTTCGGGTCTGCAAGATAAAGGCACTAGGGGTGCGGACAAACGTCGTCGCCGTTTTCGGCGCAGGCGACGAAGGAGTCGAAAGGGCACCTTACCATATGACGCTTCATTTAGTCATGAACGATATCTTCAACAGTTGAAACGAATAGTTGAACGTCAGAAGAATCTTCAGACAAAGCTGGCCATGCTGTCACACAAACAACAGAACATTCTTGAACGCGTGATAGGGTCAAAAGACATGAAACTACTCTCAAGAAGCCGACGTAGCGTCGATCAGAGTCTGAAGACTCTCCAGGAAGTGGATGAGGAGGATCGAGTCAGTGCAGCTGAGGCTGATCAACCAAAACGGCGCGTTCGACGGGCTGCGACGGCGTACAAGTCAAGGACTTGGCCCTACGGCGTCATCCCATATGTAATACAGGCGAACTTTACTAGTAAGTCTACGCATCTGAGTGATCTTTTCTGTATGAAGTGTACAGTGCCTTGTGTAAATAATACTCCTGACTGTCCAAAAGCTGTGCTTTCCATATGGGTGCTTATTTGTGTTTTTACCACAGCTTGGCCATGTAGGAGTGAATAAGGTTTCATCACTCTTCAGTCACCACAAAGAGTTATTGGATAGGGATACAATATGTTTCAGTGGCAAGTTTCCATCAGCTTATGCGCGCCTTCGGTAAAAGTTGGAACTGGCTCATAAGGAGCAACTGGTTGGACTGGAAACTAGTGTGATTGGAATTCATCGTAGAAAGAACTCTTGACAGTTTATTACAAGTGCTTGATAGATTCTGTGGATTGAAGCAAAATAATCAACTAAAATCAACCAGTTCGCTCACTCTTTACACGCAAAATAAGTAGCTTGTATTCAAGATTCGACTAAAAAAAGCCTTCACTTATCTAATGGAGCCCTAACTTAAATCAATTTAGGTGTGCAACGATAATTAGTGTCGCTTTTTTTCTATTCCAGAACTCCAAAACTCTCACTTAGTGCATTATTTTAATTCCACTCCCGAAAGCTCTGTTTGGGTTTCGTCAATCACATTAGAAAGGCCTTGTACACTTTAATATGCGCTCAAAAATGGAAGTCAATAGAACATTAGATGCCGAATATTTGCTAATTTCCTGATGTTTAGAAGGAAATTGGTTTTGAAAAGTCGCTTTTGGGTGGATGTGTAAGGATGAGGTGAAGGCTCTTCAAAGTAGTTGGAATTGGACGATTTCAAAGTTTCACTCGGCTCTTGGTGGGCTTAGAAAATGTTCAATGATGCTTGGTAGTACAACTTTTTTAGTCATCGGTGGCGTGCAAATACGTTTCTCTAGCATGGATGAAATGGATCTAGGATGTTCATCTTCAAGAGCTTTATTGGATGTGGAGATGTTCAGACAGATGACTGCTGTCGACAATCTCTTCTTTTAAGACTACATTTGGTATTCCAAGTTTGACAAATCTCATATCCCAGGTTGACAATCCAATTTATGTTTTTTATAAATCGCAAGGAACCCACTCATCCTCTAAACCAATTAATTCGATGCGCACAATTATGCAGAATCAAGTTTCATACAACGATGAACTATACGTCATATTTATGTGAAATCGACAGCGAGTATGGGAAGCTTGGTCGAAACACTATGAGATAATCTGTCTGCAGGTAAATCCGTTTATCCGGAAGTGACGTGCACTTGTCATGCATGCACATACGCCTTTGCACACGTTGGCGACAAAACACGTCTTGTTTTTAATAGTTTGCTCGGCCAATTTCCGTAGATTTGAAGCGTGGGGGAATTAAAGTGGTTTCTCATTACCTTTGCGCCGCACATTTGATTTAAC